AATATATGTAATGTATTATATGTATATCGCTTCGAAAAAAAGGAAACCAACGAGGAAAATTGAAGATGGCGGACATTGGTACTTGGCCGCCAAAGATGAAACGCGGCTCGTCGGTTTACGGAAATCTGGAGAGACCAAAGACTGCGAATCTCGAGAAACCGAGTGTCCTGGATCCGAATCTCGTTGACAAACTCGACATGTCTCTGCTGAGCAAAGAGCTGCTCAGTGACTCTATGACGTTGTTCCGCCATTCGAAAATAATTAGTGGGGGAACATTGTCGTTTCCTTCGTCGTCAAGGTGTCGTCAAGACGTCACTGTTGGCGAACGACGACAACAGCAGCAGCAGCAACAACAACAACAACAACGACAACAACAACAACAGAGGCCAGCGTCTAACGGCGCAGTAGCGGCGTGGTGCAGTGATTTAGCATCGACGCGACACAAACGACGGACATTCGAACAGATTTTGGACACAAGGCTCGGGCACGTCGACGTCTCTTCAGAATCACCAAAAATGCAGAAACAGGCGCGCATCACTGGTCAGGATACCGCGATGACCAAGAAGAGCATGGATAATAAAAAATTGGATGACAATAACAATCGGTTCGTGTTTATTTTAATTTACGAATTTACGAATTTACGAATTTACGATAAACTTTAACGGCGAACCTCCGTTATATTAGAAATGGAACAATCGGCCATAAGGTACCGCCTCTCTCCACGTTAAAGAAGAAAAGTTCAAGCCCGACGATACAAAACGATCTGGAGGTGTTCACAGCTTCCTCGACAAAGACCGCCCCGGAACCGTGCAAAAGTTGCGGTGCGGCAAATCAACCGGAACGATTTCACAGTCACCCGAAGAGTAACCAGCAAAAGATCAAAGATAGCCCGACAAATTCCAATACGAAAATCTCGATACCAAAAACCGTTCAGAAACCTGTTGCTTTGCACTTTCGCAGCGGCAAGAACAAAAATAACATCGAAATCGAGCAAGGATTAGTTCCAGATTTTAAGTCGAAATCGGCTAGTCCGCAATCGTGCAAACCGACTAAGAAAGGACCAAGAACCATCACTTGTTACATATGTGGCCGCGAATTCGGTACCGCCAGCTTTCCTATTCACGAGCCTCGGTGTATGCAAGTAAGTTCGTTGCGAGCAATCGATCGAGTAATTTCGATGCACTCACATTTCCTGAATATCTTTACGAAAGAATCTTATCGGATGATTCTTAAGAGAGCTTTTCTTGTACAAAATATTCTTTCAGAATATTAGGTATACTCTTCGAACAAGATCACACCAGTATCGAACATGATGTCGGCAGAAAATAGAAAACAGAAAACTCTATCGCTCTATGTATTCAACTATAGCGAATAATAGAAATACCGAGACAGTAATAATTCGTATAGGGCAAAGATAATATTATATCGAACTTGAACCGCGTTATTCGTCTACGTGATGGTATCGAACACGATGGACATAAATATTATTGAATTTTCCTGTCTGGAAACACATAATACGTCAAGGCCCTTGATAGAATCAATACGAGTACGTACATACTGCGTATACCGTCCGAGTTAATATCGAAAACATTTATATGTATACGTGCACATGAACGGACACAATTCGTACCGCGTATATTCCCCCTCTTAGTCGAGTACTATAATGTTACTATACGATGGAACTAATGCTACGTAATTTGCACGCGAGTCCAAGTTCGTATATGTAGATTCGGCTCGATATGTTTCGTGACGACCTCATCTGTCGCGTAACTGTCATATCCGCCTAACATTCATTAATTACACGTGTCTCATCTACATGTACGTTCGATCGTATTCCTTACGATCCCCTTGGAATCTCTCTAAGAATGCTACCGGATTAATAAATGTCATGCTTGTAGAAATGGGAACGAGAAAATAACTGTTTGCCTGCCAACCAAAGACGTTCGACACCTCAAAGACCCGAAACACCGATCGTCGATCGATTAGAATGGAACGCAGCGGCATGGGAAGAAAGTCAGGTATCTCATGTCTGTCGTTTAATCGTCTCTTTAAACATGTAAATTGCACCTATAGTCTTAGGTGACCGCGGGCACTCGGGCTAGTTTTCTTGAGCATACACGATACACTCGTATTTTCAGAATCGATATCTTCGAAAACCAAGTTTAATACCAAGTCATTTTATTCTGTGTTTCCTAGTTAGTTTTCTATGTTGAATTCAATTCGTTTGAATTGTTTCATTTCCAACAATTATGTTAAGACTCTCGTGCATAATCACGAGCTTTTTATGTGTAACTCGCTAAAGTTCACCCATAGAAAGAACATGTCACGCACACGCACTATAATCCCCCGGTCTTATCGTTTTCAAGGTGCTGCCTGCTCCACATTTACCTCTGTAAGACCAACGACGTGTTCGATCTAACAATAAGACTAAAAACCGCATTGCGTCTCGTTAAGTTCATCAAGACGTTAAGGAGAAACTTTTCGTTCAATTTGCTTTCTTCCCTTTAAACTAAATGTTTAGTCTTGGCTGGTGTTTCGAGTTCGACTATTGCTAAATGCAAGCGTCGAATGTTTAGTTTGCATCGACTCCAGTTTATCCAATATCTCTAAATGTTAACGAGTACTTTACTTTATACTCTTTCAGGCACAATTAATTCCGTGTTTCAAGTGCGGAAGAACATTCATACCGGAACGTCTGCCGATACATCAGAAAAGCTGCAAAGCTCCACCAAAGGTGAACCAGCTTCACGACGTTTATATTACTAAAATATAATCGTAACGCGTTGTTTTGTAAACACCGATAAGCTAACATTCGAATCGACAGAATCCTGACTCGGACAAGTCGGGAAGCTCCGGTCTAGAAAAGTCTACGAGCACCTCTCGATCCTTACCACCCACAGTTGCTTGTCAAAGTTGCGGCAGAAACTTTGGTACGAAGAGTATCAAGATACATGAGCCTCGATGTATCAAGCGATCTCAAATGGAGAATAACAGACACCTGCGAAGGAAAGACTCGTTGAGCGTACAAGAAATCTCAACCAGTCCAACGGGGGTGAGTCGCGTTGGAAAACATGCTTATATCCTTCAGTTCGCGTGAAATTATCTTCGTTGTACCGCTATCGTTTTCGTAAACGTGTGCGAATAAACTTTTGTTAATTCTATTATCGTTCGATGTTCAGAGGATAATGTAACTATTTAGTGTGCACCATTTTGTTGATAATTAATAGCTACGAATAAAAATTGTGTCGTTTCTATTCAAGTGTTGTTGTTAATCGAGGGTGGAACGAATAGGTAGCGGTCAGATAGCGACAATCATTCGCAGAAAATTGGTTTTAGGAGCAACAGAAGAGGATGGTCACATGTTACATATGTGGTAGAGACTTTGGATCCACTAGCATAACCATTCACGAGCCACAGTGTCTGAAAAAGTGGCATGTGGAGAACGAGAAATTGCTGCCTGGCGACAGAAGAAAAGAACCCCAAAGACCTGAGCTTATTTACACTCGTGAGTTTTGTAATTAGAAGGCCTTTCAAAAAAAATGAAGACACAATCGATCGGTAGAGAAAAACAATTTCAATGAAACTGCTTGACTTGCATGACGTCATAGGTTGAATAACCTCGGTGATCGATTCGTTTGAATGCTTTCGTTTGGTACACTTTTTCTTTGAAACGCGGTCGTGATATTTTCTGTTCTTCACGTACTTGTTTTAATTGATATACAGGTAATCCAGAAACAGGAAGTATAGTAGTTGACGTGGTAGCGATGGCCGAGGCTAACTGGAAATCGCACCTGAATCAATTGGTCCCGTGCAAATACTGCGGAAGGACCTTTAATCCCGATCGTGTAAGCATTCATGAACGGAGCTGCAAGGGGAATCGCTGAAATTTTATATCATAGTTACAGTGGAGCCGACAAAAGAATCTACTTGAAAAATGTTCTCGTTTGTATAATGCGGAATAGGGTTTACCTGCTCCACCATAGACCGAGTCGATTCTCTCTTCGACCCAATTCTAAAGGATCGCGTTCTTGAACAATTGTAAAACAATTTAATATAACAGTAGGTTTTCCTCTAATTATTCCGAGCAGTATAAATAAATAATATGATTTTGATGTATTTCTATCGTAAAAATTTAAATGCACGCATATACATGTATATATATATAAAAAAAAAAAAAAAAAAAAAGTCAAATTCGTTACACGTGACAATTTGTTTTAGTAAAATAATTTCACAGTATAATGTTATAATGTATATAAAAGACGAATGTAACGTTGCACGAACACTGTCCTTAAAAATGAGTGTATTACGCACAATTCATTAGTATTTTCATAGTCGCGATAACGAAGATTAATAATTATTAATGTCTTTTATACACGTGTAATCTAGGTATAATATATGTAGAGTAGTGATTGTTAAATTGACGCAGTATTTTGTATGAGTACATTGTACAATGTTGATAACAATAAGAAAGTAACGTTTAGTGATGTATGTTTTCGATCAATGTTCATTTCGTAACCTTTCGATTTTATCATAATCTCCTCAGCGTATTTTCTTCCTTTGCTAATACCATACAGGCAAATCTATTTCATATTCTCGATCATGTACACAATACTATTGTAGTAATAATAGAAATCTTTAAAAAAATGTTTTTTTGTTGACTACCCCGCAAAGCAATCAACTGGAATTTGTATGATCGTTTCAATGAATTGACCTTGAATGTAATAATATCGACATTTAAAATGAAAAAAGAATAATAAAAAATTAATGTAAAATGTAAATAAATATTCCTTTTTATATTTTTATTCGGACTGTTCAGATGGCAACATCATGCATCATACATAACAGTTGCTACAATACCATTACGAACCAGATGAAATAAGGTTATGGAAAGGGAAACGGAAAGAGTATTGCATTTTAAATTGTATATAATCACCTGCGAGCTGCGCACGCAGTTTCGGCCACGTGGTAGGGATCACGAAATTCCAATTGGTCCTGTGCACGACACGAAATACGCGTGACAACCGGTGCCCTCTATCGTGCACGAACGTTCGTCCCTTTCACGAAACTCGTGTTCTTTCTTAGGGAGTCCGCCATTGTTGGTGCACGTATATTTCTGACCAGGCCAACGGAAATCGGACAACATCCAAAATGGTACGTATGATCGTTACAAACTATCACGAACATGTAGAACCGTATGGTGCGTGGAGTGCAGAGATGCGAATATTTTTGAAGACCGAGCGTCACCCGGGTTTGGGAAAATTCAAAAAACTGGCGGATTACTTGGGATTGCGCAACTCCTTTCGAGGACGAATTTCGAGGCTTGCGGTGGATATGCCGGGGGCAATGATCTCTGGTGATTCTACAAATATTCCGGCAGGACATTCCTGAAAATTTTACGTCCCAAGGGTTGAACGTTGTCGGTGTTCAGAGTTGAAATATGTTTCGTCTCTCGTTTGGGAGGCAACGTGTCATGGAGCTTTGTAGGGCTCTCGATGCGAGTCAGCATGCTCTTGGAACATCGTGAATCGTTCTTTACGATCCCTTGTGCATCAGGAATTCGACAGAGAAGAGTTATTATGCAGACAAATACATCGAGTACTTTGTACGGTGTATGTAGTGAATAAGGAGAAGTCGTAAAATTCTAGAGTCAGGAGTTACTTCAATACAGAAACGTACGGACGCTGTGCAAAGAAAAATGTCCACATGGGAAGACGCTATTTCATTTTCTTGTAAATTAATAACGTATACGTGTCCGTAGTATTTATCAAGATTTGCGAAGCTTTAATTCCAATATGGTCAGTATCAAGATTACTAAATTTTTTTCTTTTTTTTTTTTTCTTTTTTAAACCAAACCAACATTTATTTCGAGTTTAAAATTCCGTACCTCGGAGAAACGTCAAATGTGCACATAATTGAATTGATATTGAATTTTTGTCAAGTTCTTTGTTGTTGACGTTGTTAAATTTGCTTCTCCTTTGTGCATCTATCGATAGCGCTGTGTGAAATACGCGAAATCCGTATATTTCCTGGTGATCGTAGTATAGTAATGTATGCATCTTTGGAATTACCAAGAATGTTTTTTGTTTCAGGTGAACTTCACAGTAGACGAGATACGTGCCATGATGGACAAAAAGAAAAACATCAGAAATATGTCCGTCATTGCACACGTCGATCATGGAAAGTCAACTTTGACAGACTCCCTTGTATCTAAAGCCGGTATTATCGCTGGTGCCAAAGCTGGTGAGACCCGTTTTACAGATACTCGTAAGGATGAACAGGAACGTTGTATTACAATTAAATCCACGTAAGTTTGCTTTGTGTAGCAGGATTATTTTGTAATTTTTGTTTTCCTGTTTATAATTAGTACTTTAAATTTCTTTCTAGTGCTATTTCTATGTTCTTTGCCCTCGACGAAAAAGATCTAGTTTTTATCCAAAATCCTGATCAGCGCGACAAGGATGAAAAGGGCTTTTTAATCAATCTCATCGATTCACCTGGCCACGTCGATTTTTCTAGCGAAGTAACGGCTGCTCTTCGCGTAACCGATGGAGCTCTTGTGGTCGTCGATTGTGTATCTGGTACATATTTTACAACTATTCCCTTCGAATTGTATAAATGCATATTGTTTTATGTATCACAGAGTCTTAATTTTTAATAACGATATCAATGTGTAAAAATGATCCTTTTTTTATTTGTATCAAACAACTCCCTTCCAGCACAAAAAGTGTTACTCTGTAGCGTATCGGCTCTGATTTATCCGACCGATACACATTGACAATGCTGACGGTGCGTTAATGGAAGGAGATTAAAAGCAGCTGTGTTTAAACGCTGTTAGTGGACCTCTATCCTTATGTCCGTTACTAGCATGCTACGACACAATTGCCACAATCGCTACATATATATATATACATATATATGTATATTTCTTTTCGTTTTTCTCTCTTTTTTTTTTTTCCCTTTATTTATCGTAATTTTCATCGAGTCTTTCCTTTTCAAGGTGTTTGTGTACAAACTGAAACTGTACTTCGTCAAGCCATTGCTGAACGTATCAAACCTGTATTGTTCATGAACAAAATGGACAGAGCACTGTTGGAACTTCAGCTTGATAGCGAAGATCTCTATCAAACTTTCCAACGTATCGTTGAAAACGTTAACGTTATTATTGCTACATATTCGGATGATGATACCGGTCCCATGGGTGAAGTTAGAGTAAGTAGATAATTCTTTTGTAGATAATGTGTTATACTAACTTTGTGCTTGTTGTATACAGGTAGATCCTAGCAAAGGATCCGTCGGTTTTGGTTCTGGTCTTCACGGTTGGGCGTTTACGTTAAAACAATTTGCTGAAATGTATGCTGAGAAATTCAACATTGATATCGTGAAACTTATGAATAGATTATGGGGAGAGTCATTCGTCAACACCAAAACCAAGAAGTGGAGCAAACAGAAGGAAACTGATAACAAGCGATCTTTCTGCATGTACGTTTTAGATCCAATTTATAAGGTAAGTTTTCGATTGATAATATTGTATTATTGTTATATTACGTAAAGACTACCTTATTTGAAATAATATCAATATAAATTGAATCTACAGGTATTCGATTGTATTATGAATTACAAAAAAGAAGAAGCAGACAACCTGTTACAGAAATTAGGAATTGTTTTGAAACCAGAGGACAAAGATAAAGATGGTAAAGCACTGCTTAAGGTAAGATTTCTAGGGTATATAATCGATTCTATTTAAGCGAGAGAAAATATGACACTGCCGTATTTTACACTCGAGTATTTATGATGATTGTTCTAATTATTTTCTGACACCTCTTCTGAAATTTTTTGACTGATCATTCGAACAAGTTTCTGATAATATTTGAATCATAAATATTTACGTAATCGATTATCGTACACCATCATATTATTACTGTTCTTTTATATATATTTTAGGTTGTCATGAGAACATGGTTACCTGCTGGAGAAGCTTTACTTCAGATGATTGCCATCCATTTACCATCCCCTGTAACTGCTCAAAAATATCGTATGGAAATGTTATACGAAGGTCCACACGATGACGAAGCTGCTATTGGTATTAAGGTATTTATGAAATATCTTTAATATTAATGTCCAAAACGTGTTGCTGTTCGAATCTTATTATGAATGATGATATTACAGACCTGTACTGAGATAATAATAACATGATAGATATTAAAATTTTTAACTGACTAGCATTTCGCATTTAGTTGATATTTGCATATACGAATCGGTATATTCATGTTCATATTAATATTTTGTTGTACAGAACTGTGATCCAAATGGACCACTCATGATGTATGTTTCAAAAATGGTACCAACTTCCGATAAAGGTCGTTTCTACGCCTTTGGCCGTGTATTCTCTGGAAAAGTGTGCACCGGCATGAAAGCACGTATCATGGGTCCTAACTTCCAACCAGGCAAAAAGGAAGATCTTTACGAGAAAGCTATTCAGCGTACAATTTTGATGATGGGTCGTTATGTCGAGGCGATCGAAGATGTGCCTTCTGGTTTGTAAACTTGTGTATATATATATATACGCTTCTTAAGGAATTCAACATAGTTGATACTTGAACAAATAATTGAATGATGATTGTTCTCACAGACCTGTACTGATAGCTTTTTGAAAGATAATAGAACGGCCAACTGACACGATCGATAATATTAAAATGTCCTTTGGAATTTTTGTACGTGTTGTGTATTGATTAGTTTATCGTTTAACGCAGGTAATATTTGCGGACTTGTTGGTGTTGATCAATTCTTAGTAAAGACTGGTACAATTACCACGTTTAAAGATGCGCATAACATGAAAGTTATGAAGTTCTCAGTCTCCCCTGTAGTGCGTGTCGCTGTCGAACCTAAACATCCAGCAGATTTGCCAAAATTGGTCGAAGGTACGTTTATAAATCTAACGAACTGTGCGATACATTAAAATTTACTAACATTAAGGATGAAACTATACATAGAGCATTGGGTTATGATAAGCTGTGATTTTGATTGAAATCTGAAGATTATAATTAAGTGCAACTAATATTTCCTATACGGTACGCATGTTATTAACTATAATAAAATACTCCTATTCAGGTCTTAAACGTTTGGCAAAATCTGATCCTATGGTACAATGTATCATCGAAGAATCTGGAGAACATATTATTGCTGGTGCTGGTGAACTTCATCTCGAAATTTGTTTGAAAGATTTGGAAGAAGATCATGCTTGCGTACCCATTAAGAAATCTGATCCCGTTGTTTCTTACAGAGAAACGATTTCGGAACAATCGAATCAAATGTGTCTTTCTAAATCACCCAATAAGCATAATCGTTTGTTCATGATGGCATGTCCCATGCCCGAGGGTCTCGCTGAAGATATTGACAATGTATGTTTTGTTTGTTCATGAACAAATATATAAATAATTTATTTTTACTTATCGTTTATCAATTTTGTAGGGCGAAGTTAATCCAAGGGACGACTTCAAAGTACGTGCTCGTTATTTAAGTGAAAAGTACGATTACGATGTAACCGAAGCCAGGAAGATCTGGTGCTTCGGCCCTGATGGAACAGGACCCAATATTCTTGTAGATTGTTCGAAAGGAGTACAATATCTTAACGAAATTAAAGATTCTGTTATAGCTGGATTCCAATGGGCCACGAAAGAGGTACGCAAGATATGCATGCCAAAAGGATACATGTTTAATACTTTATTACATCATCTTTGATTTATGTAATATCAACTCATAATTTTAATTATCCATTATGTAGGGTGTTCTTTCGGAAGAAAATTTGAGAGAAGTACGTTTTAACATTCACGATGTGACGTTACATGCTGACGCTATTCATAGAGGTGGTGGTCAGATTATACCTACCACAAGACGTTGCCTTTATGCTTGTCTCCTAACTGCGTCTCCCCGGCTAATGGAACCAGTTTATTTGTGTGAAATTCAGGTAAGCCAAGCTCTGTAATTTCTAATTTGTTGAAATATTGATTTCATTGATGTATTGCTTAAACAAGAAACGTTTAATACTTTCAGTGTCCTGAAATAGCGGTCGGTGGTATCTACGGAGTCCTTAACCGTAGAAGAGGTCACGTATTCGAAGAACAGCAAGTTGCTGGCACGCCTATGTTCGTTGTTAAAGCATTTCTTCCAGTAAACGAGTCCTTCGGTTTTACTGCCGATTTGCGTTCCAATACCGGAGGACAAGCTTTCCCACAGTGCGTATTCGACCATTGGCAGATTTTACCTGGCGACCCAATGGAACCTGCCTCTAGACCTTACACAGTTGTGCAGGTAAATTATTTATTTATTCTTTTGCTAAGTGTTGGAGAAAATACATACCCCCACGATCATAACTGATGGCAATGGATAAGTGTAAATACATTACCATTTTTAATCTCGTGGAAGAGAAAACTGTTTTTTGTTTTGGTGTTCCAGTAGCTTATCTATCCTGGTTTGCCTGAATAGGGAAACACACAATACTTTACCGTTCTATTATACGTATATAATATTATACGATGCACCAGTGTTAGTTAACGTCTGCTAATTTAGAATTATTTGCATTTTCACAGGAAACACGTAAGAGGAAGGGACTGAAAGAAGGTCTCCCAGATTTGAACGCATACCTTGACAAATTGTAACCTAGATTCGCGCGCACCATATTTAAATACCTATTTAAATATTGTAATTCAATTAATATCGCTCGAGCCGTATACAGCCACATCGGTTTATTATGAACTTTGTTTTGCGCAATGAACCGCGAGAAATATACGATTATAAATATGAAAAAAGATAATAAATTGTAATTATAACGGAAACTATGTATGCCAGCGCAAGGGAGGAATATTTTGTACATTTATTTAACTAAACATGCCACCGAATTAACGAGATCTAGTGGCTTTACGTTTTTAGCATATCACCATCAGATAAAGACTCGATTGTTGTTTTCAATGTGGCAACATGTTGCCCATTTCGTATGATATATAAAGAAGAAAAAGGAATTGTGATTTTTTACATTGCTTTTGTTCATCAAGATTAGTCTCTTTTTGTTCATATTCTCAACTCAAATAATTGGACGAATTCCGAAGTTACTAATAACAAAAAAGAATCACAGCAATGTAATCGTACCGAAAGAAAATATGTCTGGAAATTAAAGATGAAATTAAGAAATGGAATGTCTTCTTTTATTATCCACTCGATTTGTTAAAAACACCTGAAATTATTTATATCTAAATATGAAAATATTATTGCAATAGTTGAGGCATTATTTATAGTTTAATAAAATGATGAATGTTTAATGTATCAAACCTATTTTTTATACATTTTGATTTCTTGATTTCATTAATCTTTTTGTACACGTCAATACAAGATATATATTTAAAGTAGATTTCTCAAATTATGAACGGTAATTTAGTAAACAAGTCACATGTATTAAAATTGAATTAAATACATATTTTCAATAATGCATCAAAATAGCGTTAGAACTATTAGTTTACGAAATGAATTTTGATACATTTTTCAAGTATATTATAAATAAGTAAAATTGTATTTACAAAAATGCAATGTATCGACAAATTGCGTTGCGTCATATTCTTCTATAAGAATTTACACAGGATTAATTGTATTCTTGTAGATTCCAGCCAACGATTGAACTGCTAAAAGGATAGTGTCCCTTCTAGAAACCCCGGTAAGCGCATGATGCCATTCGTTGTGAGAAACCTTTGGAAATTTGTTTCGGTTAAAAAAAAAAACAACAATATAATTGTATAGCTTTTTGTTTGAAACAAACCTGTAAATTGGTTGCCATTAAGCTACCAACGGTAACTGCTAATCCAGACCATTTAAGAGGATAATCTTCAGGTGTAGCCTCTTGTGCCATTGTTACTATTTGACTCGGGACTGGTGTCATTTGAGTGAATGTTTGTAAATTCACATTGTGTTTAGGATCATTGAGAAGTATTACTCCCAAGTCGTACCACTTATCCTCGCCGACTTCTATCAAAAAATTTTCCACAGCAATTATAGGCATATCTTTTGGTAGGGTTGGAATATTTCGTGCAGAATTAATTCTCTCTTCTGCTCCTTTTACTCCAGCAGCAAAACCAATTGGTTGAGCAGCAATAGCTAAACTGTCAACTGGCACACCACTGAAAAAGTAACCGAGTATTTCATTCAAAATGTAATATAACACGAAACGTGATTTATAATTAATTATAATTATTTACAAAATATATTATGTTACTTACGTTACCGTTGCTTTTCCAAATACTGTTTGGAAAGCTTGACGTACAGGACTTATTTTCACATCCTTATCCGAAGCAACTACAATTTCTACATCACCGCCAGAATCTGAAATGTACATTTTTAATAGAGTCCGTGCATAGGCTTGTACATTAATTAACATGTCGCACAACCACTATTCGCGGACAGTATAATGATTGTATTTAATTTATGAAACTTTCATTTTCAACGCTATAATTTAGAATTTGTCGTAGCTATTTTTCGTGAAGTTATATGTATATAGATACAATGTTGTCTTTGATTTCAACGACATTCGAATAATCGGATTAAATTGTGTCAGACCCTACTTTTCAAAGCAAATGATAAAATTGACAGTTGAGACGGTATACGGCACAGTGTTCATTGAATTAAGTTTAGCCTGCAGATTATCCAAAAATAACACGACACGTATATACATACATACACTCCTTTCAGATATGATGCAATAACATAATTATGCATACAATGACACACATTTGAGAAGAAAATTTACAAGCCAAAGTATTAGTACGATGAACATATTTATAAAGAGAGGAACGTTTATTCAGATTTTCATCTTTATTTCCATGCCAGGATTAGTAACTTTTTTACTTACAAATGAACTCACGCATCTGAGGATCTAATGTTGTAATCATAGTGTTAACGCTATTCTTTGCTTTCTCTGCAACTTTGCTCAAGACATTACTGTTCACTACTGTTTCTTTAACCCACGATAGTAAACCACCGCCAACCATTCCTGAATCCTGCACTGGGCTTTCCGTTTGTGCCGTGCTTTCTAGATTTTGCACAGATACCATCGCTGTAGCAGCTGCAGTCGCATGACATGTTTCTTGCTGCAGAGGCTTAGACTGAACAACGGTATTTAACATTGATTTAGTGGGTTCTTGTTTCTTTTGTATAGATGGTTCCAAATGATGAGATCTGTCCGATAATAGGGCTCCCGAATTGGAAATAAAACTTGGCAACGCGATAGGCGGTGCTAGATTCGATAACAAATTTCCTGTGGATGTTGATATGCCTAATGGCATTAGCAGAGACGTAGACGAAGATAAACTGCTAAAAGAATCTGAAAATTACAATGTTTTTATCGTTTGCATACATTATGTGTATCGCGAAAAAACGTCGAGATTAGACAATTATATTCATTGGCCTGCAAACTATTGCTTTTCTATATACAAACTGAAATTTATCATACTTTACTTTATAAACCATTTATAAAATTTTGTTAAACAAAATTAGATAGAGATATAAGTTTTCTGTATTGTATCCTACATCTCCGAATTCATTTCTTATTACATTTTTCGTATCTTTTACGCTTGATAAAATTTTAGTCTTTCATATTGCACGCTTAAATTTTGTTCTATTATGTAAAAATTGTAAGAAAATATCCAAGCGAATGGAAATTGTTGATTTGCAAAGATATTTGACAGATACGCAGGTGTTTGTGTTTTGCCTTTCCGTCTCACCTGTCTTTACGATTTCTCCAGATGCGGAAGATTCATCCGTCTTCCTTTCAACAAATTCGAACGTGGATTCCCCATTGGAATCGTCGGTCATTGCTGGCTAACTTTTTTAAATTTACACGTAAAATGTCCAAAACTATATATATCGTAAATTTTTTATACGCAAGTGTGCATCAGTGTGCATATAAAAGACAATACTTTGACTATACCAACACTATGCATATATGTACATATATACATATAATTACGAGATATCAGTAGCTAACTTCATGCTCAAGGATGTCACCTGAACATGGAACCTAGCTACACAAAGCTGAACCGATCGTAATACTAATACGAAACGCGACACTTACTCCTGTTACTTTCATTTACTATAACGTAGTATTTTTTGTCATTTATTTTACACGATAACAAAGGCAAATTCAGTAATTTGTAAATCATTACATTCAACAAAAGATTAATTAATCTCTTACTTGATTATATAATAATCTTTATTACATATGGATTCTTGTAATTGTACAATAGAATGGGATACAGAAAATATATTTTTATTTAATGTGGTTAATTGTATTTATAAAGTTAAAGCCAGTTACATTAAACGATAGACTTCATTCGTACAATTTCAAATACATGTTGATATGGAACCCCATCTGTACGTGTACAAATATTTGATGACGCAGATTGAGGTTATGTTTAAGAGTTTGTGTCATTTCCTTATTTTGAATAATTTGCATTTATATAATGAAATAGGAATACTAAACAAAACAACGTCGCACCGAGGATGTTGCAAAAAACGGCGAGCTGCACGTCTGTAATCATCTGAAATGTTATACAGAATTAACCTATTAATTTGTTTTCCATTCGAACACGAAATATTTCAAAGTAAATAGAAATGAAGAGTAGTTGGAAAGTAAAATGAAGGAAGGAAGGAATTAAGAAGGTATATAATTACCTTAAAAGATTACCTTATAGTATACACTGTTCGGTATACTTAACAAATACGTGATCTGACACGTTACACACCGCACAAACAATGAGTTACCAGGCATTACCCGTGGGAAAATTGCCAAGTTTCTAGCGAAGATAGTTCTCAATGTCGCTGCTAGATGGCGAGCTGTTTTTTTTTTTAAACTTGTAGCGCCATCGGTGGGAAAATGCCCAAGTTTATAATGAAAATAATTTTTATTGTTTTTGTAAGATGGCGCCACAGATACTTTTCCATTAAATATTCTTTATTTTTCGTAAATACATAGTTGATACGATTCTTTGGTTTAAAACTTTAAAACGCTACTTTTGTTAGTGTGTCAAATGTATGTATCAACTAAAATGTAGAGCGCATGCGCGTGTATGAATATATATTTAGTTGGGTGAATTTTTCCCACGCGGCACTACAAACTTTGTGCTTGGACCAGCTTGGACCAGCTTGGACCTGCTTGGACCTGCTTGGACCCCCTGCGGCCCCTACCCAAGTCCCCAAGTGCCCAGCCATTTGCTTGCATTTGCTTGCATTTGCTGTTTGCGCTTGGACTGCATCAGACTGCATTGGACATGGACTTGGACTTGGACCCCCCACTGGTACAGTGGACGTGATCACACCGAAGAGCAACACTGTCGTCGTTGTCGTCGTCGTCGTTGGTTGTCGTCATGTCGTTACCAATCGTTATCAATCGTTACGTTACGAGTTACGAGTGACTTACCGATTCCAATCTAAGATCCGTGATCCGTGCAGTCCAGTCAAGTCCAGACGTTGGGGCCGACGCAAGTACGCTAGAGTACGCGACTAGGATTGCGATTTTTCTCTCGTTATTATGAGAAATGTTTGAGTGGATTTCACGGTCGCCTATGCGCGCGTTGGCAACGAAAAATGCGGTTTTTTCACGGCCACCGCATATAGTAACGCGTGCGCATTCAGTATATTCGCGAAACGAGAAATTATAGCCGTGTCGCCTAAATAGTTTCGGTCTAATCGCACCAGTTTCTCGTCGGTTACCCCATTAAAATTTCTATCGCTGTCGAGTCTTAAAGAGTTGCACAATATACAACGTTGAGATGGCCGATGACACGAGTGTACGCGTCGCCGTACGGTAAGTATATGTACGGCTGATATATGTATTTATGTACAACATCAAGAATCGTTAAAATGATTTTGCTATTACGTAGAGTAGACCGCATTGGCGCAAACTAAAAAACCTCTTTTACGATGACAGCATTTAACAATGCTAATCTATAGTAATCCAAATATTCCCGCGAAACATTGTTCTAATTCGAAGCATTGGAATTATATTTTTAACGCTCTCATTATTTTTACAACTTTCTCCAAGTTGCGTATTTACATACGCAATGCGAACATATTTGCCCGATACAGCTTATCTGATTTCTCGTTTTTGTTTCATCGGAACACTGTTGTTGCGAGTTTAATCGACTTTAAACTTTAACGATCTTATTGTTTATATTCATGAAATTACTTCTACGGATTTCATGTTTAAAACAAGTCCTTATCAGTTTATTCGATGTCTGGTTATACACATATTATTTGTATCGACATACGAATCGAATCATTTTCTATCTACATAGACATAGAATATCATCGATATGTTGTTTCTTTTTTCTACGCAGTACCGCGTTTCAACTGTTAATCGCATAATATCTCCTTTTAAAGTGTCAGATGCCGTAGGCAGGCTTTATACCGGTTGTATAATGAACGCATAAATATCTCGCATCTCGATTTCCGATGAATGAATTGTCCACCTCTCACTGCATTCCGTTCGTTTTTGCGTAACTCGTCAAGTACACGTTTCACTATCATTTCCGTACATCCGTATTTATTAATCTCGAAATCAGATCGTATACACAGCATATTCGCAATTTTTCGATTATTGCCGCGTGCTTTACGCGAATGACATAAGCAAAGTAAACAGCTGATGATGCACATGGCACCGTCAACTTTCACAATATTTTCAAACGATATATGTTTACATATATATACATACGTATAGATACATCGATCGATTGTACTTGATACATAAGAAATAACAGGATCGAATTCGTGGAGTTCCTATTTTTTTAAATTTATGCAAATATGACACTACTTATTTCAAGAGAATATTTTTTTTCTTTTTAATTCTTTTCTATATCGTTTTATTTATTACTTAAACGATATCGAAACGGTTCAAAATTTTAATATAATTATTTATTGTTTATTGCAGAATAAGGCCTCAAGTAGCACGTGAAGTAATCGATATGTGTAGAATTTGTACACAAGTTCCTCCAGGAGAACCCCAGGTCTTTCTTGGACCAGACAAGGCCTTCACGTACGATTATGTTTTTGACACTGGTATCGGGCAATCCACAATTTACGACACGTGTGTCGCACGTTTAGTAGAAGGAGCATTAGATGGGTATAACGCAACTGTGCTGGCCTATGGTCAAACTGGTTCTGGAAAAACCTATACCATGGGCACTGGTTTCGACGTAGAAGTCGATGAGACTGTAATTGGAATCATTCCTAGAGCTATTAAACACCTTTTCAATGGAATTACAGAAAAACAGCAGTGCGCCAGGGAACGTGCGCAAATGCCTTCAGAATTTAAGGTTTGTAATATTTAATGAAATGTCTATTTTGACACGTTAATAATCGATTAATAAATAATTACACGATCATGTTTCTTATGCGCAGTATTTAAGCTTATAATTTACGTATGTATCGTAATAGGTTACTGCACAATTCTTGGAATTGTATAACGAAGACTTGAAGGATTTATTAGAACCGGGTGGACCGAGAGGCGGTGCTCGTATTCACGAAGATACCGCAGGCAACATTCATTTAGCTGGTGTTGAACCACGAATTGTAACTGGTCCGGAACAGGCTTTAGAATATTTACGATTGGGGGCACTGTCACGCACAACTGGGTCTACACAGATGAATACTCAGTCGTCGAGATCACACGCTATATTTACATTGTATATAAGACAGCAAAAATGTATAAAAGTCGAAGATCCGGATGCCGATATCGATACAAGTGGCACAGAACCAGCAAGCGAATTTGAAACTTTAACGGCTAAATTTCATTTTGTAGACCTAGCTGGTTCCGAAAGATTAAAAAGAACAGGCGCTACAGGAGATAGAGCAAAAGAAGGAATATCTATAAATTGTGGATTATTGGCCTTAGGTAATGTAATTTCAGCGCTTGGTGACAAAACAAAGAGAGCTTTACATGTTCCATATAGAGATTCAAAATTGACTAGGCTACTTCAAGACTCACTGGGAGGGAATAGCCAAACTGTTATGATAGCATGCGTATCGCCAAGCGACAGAGACTTTATGGAAACTCTGAGCACTCTTAAGTACGCAAATAGAGCAAGAAATATTAAAAACAAAGTTACAATTAATCAGGACAAGAGTTCGAGAACAATAGCTTCTCTTCGAAGAGAAATACAGCAACTTCAGTTAGAGTTAATGGAATATAGACAAGGCAAAAGAGTTGTCGGGGAAGATGGTATGAATGATGCTTGGCACGAAAATCAAATGTTAAGTAGCGAATTGCAAAGTCTTCGTACTAGAGTTAAAGCTCTTTCGGAAACTGTCGAAGCATTGACAGCAAAGAACGTTCTTCTGCTGGCAGAGAAAGCTACCGGTCAGTGGATATCGTCGACAGGTGGAAATAGCGAAGTAACAAGTTTAGTACAAGGGTATGTTCAAGAGATAGAAGAGTTAAGGGCTCGACTGTTGGAAGCTGAGGCTATGTATCAACAGCTTAAGAAACGACAGATTCAAGTTAACGCAGCAAATCCTTATGGTGACTCTGGATACATATTTCATAGTGATTCTCCGTCAGTATTAAACGATGCGAAAAAAGAATTGCAAAAAGAAATTGACGCGTTAACTCTGTTAAAGGAACAGCAAGCATATGTTACTAATACCGTCAGTAAAACGGTAGATGAAGCTGAAGGTGAAGATACAGAAGTTGGTCAAGACTTTGCGAGCGACGATGATTCGGATGATGATACTGATAGGAAAGAAGAAGATGAGGAAGAGGCAGCTATGGGACGTGAATTGGAAGCTTTAACGTCGGATATCGACGTAAAACAGCGATTAATACAGGAACTGGAGCTATCTCAACGACGACTACAAACAATGAAACAGCATTACGAGGATAAACTTGCCCAGTTACAAGCTCGCATCAAGGACACTCAAGAAGAAAGAGACAAAGTATTACATTCTTTGCAACAGCAACCAACACCACCCACAGAAAAGGTGAAGAAACTGCGCGACGAATACGAGAAGAAACTTGCTGCTATGCAAAAAGAAATGCGACTTCTACAATCCGCGAAAAAAGAACACGCAAGGTTGCTTAAGAATCAATCTCAGAATGAGAACAGATTAAGAGGACTTCGAAACGAATTGGCAGAAATGAAAAGAGCAAAAGTGAAGCTGTTAAATAAAATGCGCGAGGAGGCGCAGAGACATAAAGAAAACGAACTGAGACGCAACAAAGAAATAGCACAACTACGCAAGGAAAGTAGAAAAAATGCGAATATGATCAGAACGCTAGAGGCTGATAAAAGAATGAGAGAAGTAGTGCTTAGACGCAAGCAAGAAGAGGTTACAGCGTTAAGAAAGAGGGACAGAGGCTTAAGTCAAAAAGTTGCAGGTAGAGCACCGCCTAAGCCAATTAATCCAAAAGCTTTAAAGCAAAGATGGTTGACGTTCGAAAGGACTATCGCGAAACAAGCATTGGCCAAGCAGGCAGCTGCGGAAACGGAGAGAGAAATGGAAAGACTTCTTCAAGAACGCGAGGAATTGGGTAGAGAACTCGAAAAGCTTCAAAAACAAAGAAACGCTATAACAAATTCGAGGGGTGACATGATTGATGTCGACGAAGAAATCGACAATGTGAAGAGCAAAATTAGTTACTTGCAGGTAAACATTTTTTGTTCGCTTATACAATATCTTTTGACTATATGTATGTATTCTTCAAATTACTTTCTATAGGATAGCATCGCCGAGTGTCAACGCGATATGGTGGAAATGGGCGATGGAGATGCAGAGGGTGAACCAGGTGTTGAAGCTCTGGTATCGACAATTCAAACGGTAGACGAAGCACAGTACTTGTTGCAAAAAATGCTAGCATTTACCGTGGAACAGAGCTGCGTAGCTGCTCAGAAGCAGCTCGAGGTTCGAGATATGGAATCTCGATTAAATCA